AGCAGGAAAAGGGCCTGGCTGGGTCTGGAAGCTGGTATGGAAGGAGGAGGGGTTTAGTTGAACCCCAGCAAGGAAACTGGGGAGAAGCAGGAGGAAGCTGGATGCACACAAAGTGCTTCAACACCAAGACTCACAGCGACAGCAAGACCTGGAGCCACGGGAAGACACCTCACAGACTTGGGTTTTGAGAAAAAAAGTGTTTACTGCCTGCCTGGAACCTTAAAAAAATATTCCTGAGCCATGGTAACCCCAGCAGAGCAAAGAGGCCAGGCCTCCAGCACGGTGGGATGCAGCCCTCAGATGGGTGGTAGGTCCCCTGAAGGCATCTCCTCATGAAGCTCGTGCTGTGTCCATCAGGAAGCAGGGATCTGGGACCTCAGAGTGAGGTGGCCTGGTGTGGGTCTGCAACAGTGCCCCCAGCACGAGCTGAGCAGCCACTCAGGCGAGTGCCAGCTCACCCTCACACAAGGGGAGAGGCAGGGGAAGGGAGCAGCAACACAAGGACGCCGCAACAGCCACCATCTGAGTGATGGGGGCTGTTTGGGCTCGTTAAGGGAAGAGCAGTTGGGGGGTGGGCACCCCTGGAGCTGTGCTGGGTGGCCACCAGGAGATGCTGTGGACACTCCCAGCCCCTTCCTTCCCCACCACCACGGGCTGCTGGTGGAGCTGCTGCCAAGAGTCCAGCTCCAAAGCCTCCTCAGGAGCTCTGCTGCGACGTGCCAGCCAAGATCTGCTGAGCAATGTGAGCCAAGGCAGGGAAGGCAGAGCTCTTGGGAAACTCCTGGATGAAGTCTTTGCCTTCTTCCAAGCTCCAGCTGAGTTGGGGGTCCAGGGGAACGCAGCCTGGGGGATATGAGGGATGGGGAGAGTGCTCATGGTAAGGTAAAGGCTTGGGGTCAAGATTAAAGACTTGGCCTGAGTCATCTCCAGGTAGGAAATGGAGCAACCACAACCCTCACTGAGCTCTCCAGGAGCTACTTCTCACCTCCAACTGCTTCCTTAGGCTCCAGAACCTCAGCACAGCACAGTGCTTCTCACAAGAGACATTCTCCCCCCAGTCCCAGCCCCACCTGGGGGGTTCAGCCCTCAGCCCTCACCACCCAGGGAGGCTCCAGGGCACCTCAGGACAGCTCTTGTGCCACGTCAAGGCTCATTTGCTCTGTCACCACCAAGAAGCTTCTGTCACAGAAGCCCCACACCTTGCCTCTGAAAGGGTCCCAAGGGCTCACAGGGCCCAGAGTCCATCTCGCCAGCCCCAGTGACACCCCATCTGTGCTCCAGCACTCCCACAGCCCCAGGCAGACCTCCCCTCTAACCACAGAGAGCTCTGCTCCACAGGCCACTCACCCAGGAAGGGGACGCCAGCGTGCTTGGCCAGTTCCTCACCTCCTCCTTTGGAAAAGATGTTTGTGCACTCCTGGAGGAGGAAGGGCAGAAATCATGAGTCATAAAGGCCCAAGCCCTGGGTGCCAGGGCACGTGAGCAGAGCCAGCTCCCCTCCACCCTCCAGGCACTGCTCTGCCCTCTCCAAGCTCTCTTTTGGAAAGCCCAGGAGCTTCTCCCAAAGCCAACACACAGCCCCCGGCAGCTCCTCACCCTCGTGGCAGAGCAGCAGGTACCCCCCAGGCACCACACCCTGCAGGTTCCCATCACCCACGAGGACCCAGGGGCACGCCCAACCCACCGAGCAGTGAGGGCAGACGAAGCCACTCATGTTCTCCACGAGGCCCAGGACCTGCAGGCCCATCTTCTTACAGAAGGTCAGCTCCCGCCTCACGTCTGCCAACGACAC